CAAATTAAATTTCAAAGCCAGTCATTAGACCATTACGCCCTGCTCCTGCGCCACTCTGCCTCCGCTCGCTCCGCACAGGAACCCGCAAAACATCCTGTTGATGTCAGCAAATTTTATTTATTTGTGGTTCGTGTTGTATTACAACATTTTAGAGCAATTAAAATTGTACAATGGCCTATGTTCGTCCCATTCTCGTGCTCGCTGCTGTTATCGTTCACTCTCCCGATGGCCGATTCCTGCGAGGCCAGCAACATGGCTGCTGTGTGTGCCCGACCTAGCCGGGTCGTCAGCTTATTTGGCCGCATTTCTTTTTAGATCATTTAGTGTAAGTGCCTTTATAATGATATATTGACTTTGCTTGTCCACAGAACTTGTGCGCTCGCTCACAATGTGAAATGAGTGTATAGGGACTGTCTGACCCTCTTATATCATTTGAATATGCGAGCTTCATCTCCCTACCCACCCATACCTCTCCCATACCTCCCCCTCATATAGATCTATTAATTACATATTTCGTGTGAACGAGTATTGGGTAGTCGACGGCGCCCGATTGCAACGTTCTCGCTGTTACCGGCTACGGCTCGCCTAATGGCCGTGAGTAGCCCTAATTGCCGCTGTGGTAACGATACGTTTTCTAAAATTAAACGACGGTATATATTTTAATGGCCGTTACCATCGCCCACGGCAACTTTGGACTCGGCTTGGGTAACATAATCTGCCTTTATCCGGCAAGTAACTGCAGCCGCAGTGAATCAGATCTAATTAATTTAATGGCAGAGTGTATACGACTCGAAGTCCGAGTAGCGTATTTATTGAAATAAAGCTGCGCCAGATTCTAGATTTGAAAAAGGACGCACTGCGGCAGCCGTGGCAGTTGACAAGATAATTTAATGTTTGCCGTGGCAAGATGACAATGTGCCGCAGTGTGGATGCCTCCCTAGTCTCTTTTCACACGCGACCCAAATAATATACATGGTGACTGTTCTTATTGTTATCCCTCTTGTTTGCTGCTGCTGCTGTCCTTATGCGCTAACAAGCTAACACGCTTGAGTCTCCGCGCTCCTCGCCCCACCTAGGGGCAGCAGCCGCCAGAAGTGCACGACCTATTTCATTAAAGTTTTAACTCCGACCAATGCGGCGTATGTGCCATACTAAAAGCGAAAACAATCAAGAGACTCGGCTGAATTGGGGTCGCTGCAATAGTAAATACCCTACAAAAATGTACATCTGTGTAAATATACTCTTGCTCAGACTTGATATTTAGTGTTAAACACAGTCAGGAAAAGTATTCAAAATTTTAAATTTCAGTCTAGGTAGGCATATGCTCTGTTCGTCTTAAGCAGTGCTCGGGCGCTCCCAACGTTCACAGGGTATACATACAGCGCCTGGGACTGGGACTTGTGTTAGTGGTGGTGGTGCCTTGTGTTAGTGGTGGTGGTGCCGGAGTCGATGCGGTTTTCCTCTGGCTTTTTTGTTGTATTTTTGGGGCATGTTTAAGTACGTACATATATGGCTCGCATCACTTAGTTTGGAGTCGCCTGCAGCAGCTGCAACACAATAAGCTAAAATTTGTTCAAATTTTGTTTTGTACTTAAGTGCACACTATCGCGCCCTTAGACACACATACAAGCACACCCACGAAATGCCCCAAGGAGTCGCAGCAGAAGTGGGAGCATTGCGAGCTGAACAGCCATTCGCAGCTATTAGACTGAGAGGGCGGGGCTGTAATTCTTTGTGGGTTGGACCCCTTGTCGTGTTGATTTGAAGATGTTGTCCGTGCTGCAAGGGTTTGTGTTTAAGTAAATTGTGTAGAGCACGTTTAATTAGATTTCAAAGGAGACAGAGCGGAGTGAGCGCGCTCCTATATAAATACAGAAAAGGTTCTCTTCAAGTGGCTCGACCCATCGGGGTTTTTAATTAAATTTTTTTAGATGGGACGAGATGTGTGGCGTGCAGCTATCAGTCAAAGATCATGTGTGCAGCCGCGTAATTCTCCGGCCGCCCAATTGACCGCTGCCCACTTTTGCTTCAGTGTGCAGTCAACCAAAAGCTTTTACTCATCACCGCATCCGCATCCGCACTGTGCTCTTTGGAAGCAGTCAGCGAGCAGCAGCAGCAGCAGCAGCAGCAGCGGAAACGGATCCCATAAAGTGCTCGCCACACAGACAAAAATAAAATGGTGGTGCGTTAACGCCAGCTCATTGAAATGCTTTCCATTCCGAGCGCCAACTCATTGGAATGCCTTCTATAGGTCCCAGAGATATGATTGCTGGCGGCCTGACGGGCTGACGAACTGATGGGCAGCCCACCTCATCATCTGGGCGTTTCAATGACAACGATGTGGCCGAACATTTAGTTATGAAATCTCATGCTGCAGCCACACTCGCATTAGCACAGTCGCCAACGCCATGCGAACCAATCAACTGATTTCTGGCATCCACATCCACGTCCACATCCTTGGGCCACTCTCCGACAGGCATCGGACTCTATTTAATGATTGCCCCCACACATGCGGACTGGTTTGCATTCGGCTACGTGTGCGTGTGGGCAGCAAATGCAATTCGTTTGCTGATTTGTCATTGTTAGCCGCCTCCACAACAAAGATGGCCGCCACAGTGGCCGGCCATCGAATGTCCCCGTCCTTCGTCCTTCGTCCATCGGTCGGCATCCGGCGTCCATTATGCGACGTTCGGGCTCAACTTGAGCTGATTTACAAATGAAATCATACGCCATGGCGGGTTTTTCGGTAATGAAAATTCAGTCATAAGGGAAATCATTTTTCCGGCTTTTGTTCTATTTTAGTTGTGCCTTGCCATGATGTTCCTGCTTGTGTCTCTGTGTCTGTGTCTGTGTGTGTGTGTGTGTCAGACCGAAACTGTTTAGATATAGCCTAATGTGATTTTTGTTGCTAGCTGAGTGGTTTGTGGGCCGCTGGCTCATGCGGATGGGGTAGATGATGATGGCTCTGAGCTGGAACCAGGTAATGGCCACTCGTTCTCGCAGCGCACACACGTTTCATAAATAAATTCCGTTTTAATAAACTTGTCATAATGCCAAAGCGCAAAAAGTTTTCATAATGCTTGACGTTATTAAAATTTTACATGTCATGCCAAAAGGATTTAAGTCGACGCATGAGCCCTGCCCTGCTCTGCCGAGGCATTCCGGCACAGTCTCTCGCACACTTTTCACCCCTCTCCACTCCACACGCCCCCCCGGCTCCACTCTCTGCGCTCAGCATAATAACTTTCTGACAAAATGTGCTTCGCATTACAGGCAAAGCCGTAAGCAACTTGCATGCAAATTTCAGCAAGAGTATTTAATCTTCGGTATCCAATACTGCGGCTGTTGTTTATTGTCTGCTGTCTGCTTTTCACTCTCGCCAGGGGTATTAAGTTATGCATTAAAAGATCACTAATGACGTTTATATACAGCGCCGCCAGAGACGCGCATAAAGGTAACCGCAAAGCCGCCGCCCCAGCCCTTCACAAATTGAAAATTAAGCGAACGAGTTGTCATCTCCCCCTTATCACGCCCCATCCACACAAACACGCAGGCGTCAGCACTCGAGCTTCTATACTCGTCCACGACGCGAATCGAGTATATCAGCTCTGTGCAATGCTCGCTAACAGAGCGGGCTCGGTTCGCTTGTCCAGATATACATACACTCGTCCATGCGCTCGCCCGATAAGCTGTGATTCTGTAGTCAGCTCATTGCAGATCTTTTGACTTCATTAGGCGTGGACAAGTACTGTGCAGTCAGTGACGCTTGTCTGCATGCCCATGCGAGAGATGTTGAAGAGTGCAAACTCGAGTTACTTAATTGCAGTGGCAACATTTAATAAAGCTAAAGCAAAGATTTGCCCGGCCATCCCTCCATCCGCTGTGCAGCGTTGACAAAGCAAACGAAGGAAAATCGTTAGAAAAACGCTTTTCTTGCGTTTTCAAATGTGAAAAGTGTATGTGTAAATGTGTGCGAGTGCGAGTGCGCAATATGAGGATATTACCCCACCTGTGAGCACCTGCAGCTGTGTGCGTATGTAGGATTTTTATGCTGATGCTGATGTTTATGCCTTTACTCAGGTTGCCTAGCTATTCGCACTCGTACGAATTCCTCGCTTAAATACTGCTGACTGTTGTGCAGGAGGAGGAGCAGCCGTTGCGAGGGGGCAAAGTTTTGCACATACATTTAAGGGAATTTCGCTTAAAGCATTTCAAATAATTTAATTAAAAATACCTTTTTGGCCGAGCGAGTATTCCGCATCCGCGTCATTCCGTTGCATACCTGTGGGGGAACGCGAATGTTGCTAATTGTGGATTCAATCCCTTTTAATTAACTACTCAGCAAACAGTGGGCCCATATATAACACTTAGTCCCAGATCCTCAGATAGTTGCCAACTCGACAACAATGGCCTCTCACGACAATCAACACAAGTTTTACATTTAAAGCGCAAACTTTTAATGCCGAACAGCGCAAGGAAAAGTTTCAGCTATTTGTATAGGCGCAACGCAATTTAATGGGGGCACCCTTTGTCTCTATCCTCCGTTCTCCGTTCTCCGTCTTCTGTCTCAATTCACCTGCCCAGCAAACTTATCTGTGTGTCTGCCTTGTAGCTACAACCTATTAGCTGCTTAACTTTATGTGCGAGTCCGAGTGGGAACGCGCCGAGTTCGGGTGTTTGTGTACATACAATATAAAGGCCGCCCGCCCCCGACAGGGACGGTGTTTGTATGAGAGCCTTTGTTTATTAATTTGTCATCTGTGCTTTGCACTTGTATAAGATTTCAATCTGGTGCTAAGTTTGTGAGCTCCGCTGCACTCCGACTGAAGATGGGCGCAAGGCAGCTACATGCAGATTCAGATACGGCCTTCGGGGCTGATTGACAGCTTGTCGAGTTGACATTGATGACTGTACTAGACAGCGCCCTCAAGTGCCGCCAGGTGTGCTATTCTTGAGGCAACCTAAACTCATTTCTTTCTCTCTCTCTCTCTTTGTTACAGATGACGCCAGTGCAAGTGAGAACGATACGTTAGGCGGCGTTGACTATGGGACCAGAGGCATGGGCGTGTGTGCGGACCCTGGGTCTTATCGATGGTGTCAGGCATTAAGCCGGTCGCGTTCGTCGTGCGCCACAAACACAAACCAATCAACGAGAAAGCAGACTCAACAACAATCAGACACAATCAGCAAAAGTACCAGAGCCGAGTCAACAATTGTAGCATCGATATTTCGAGGAGCTACGACTACGACGACGGAGACGACGACAATTGCAACAGCTTCGACTCTAAACCAAACGCCGTTGAAAACGGCTGCGTTCACAGTGAAAACAACGAGAAGAAGAAGACACCAGGACGAGGACGACGACGTCGAAGAGGACGTCGACGGCTGCGCTCGCACTCCGACCAAGACTTGCCGATCAATACAGACTCTGAAATTAGCACTCATCTGTCTGTTTGCCCTATTGGCACGAAATGCACAAGCTCACAATATACCAGGTAAGTTGATTCACCGGGACTGACACGCTGCCACATATCCACAATCCTTAGGTTCCTTTGAAATACATATATAAATTACAAGATGTACCACTATGTATATCTTTAACTTGGATAATCGAGAAGGTCAGCAGTACATATACTATTTGTGTATAGAGTACTCAACAGCATCAGTTCATTTCAATTCGGTCTTCGGGTAACTCATTATCTGCGAGGGCTGGCGGCTGAGAGAAATATTCATTGATTTCCGTGTAGTAAATTTCTCCCGCCGCCGAATGGTTACTGAAATCAGCCCATATGTGGGAATACTGGGCGGGGCAAGCTCTTCACGTCGCTTCGCCCAGATTCATTTTTATTTGGTATTCACGAAAATGTAATGGTGCACAATAAGCGGCTTACGTGAGGGCAAAGCTGATTACATTTGGCAATTAGTTGACAGTTAGTTGAGGTTGTTTTGCCTTAATGGCAGCCAAAGCTGGCAGCGGCGGACCGAATTTATAAGCAAGTAAATATGTATATATGTGTATAATATATATGTATTTAATATATGCATATTAATATGAGATAGAGAAAGAGAGAGAGAGAGACAGGGGGAGACAGAGACGAAGAGGAAGAGGGTGCGATGAGGAGAGGCTCAATAAACGTGACATGCACTTGGGAATTTCATTTCCAATGTAGCACTAGGAAAGTTTCGACCGGCTTGCTTTAATGTACCGTAACGATTCTTGAAATGAATTAAATTAATTTAGCCGAAAATTGAAAATCCGCTTGGGATTTCTATGGCAGCCAACGGGATGGCCACTTCGTGCGCGGTCGAAAGGTCAATTGCCAAGTACGCCTCAAGGCGCGGCTGTTAGCGGCGGGTGGACTGGGCGGGTGCCGTGCCGTGCCGTGCCGTGCCGTGGCGAGCGCTGTTAGTTGCAGGCGGCAGTCGTCGGGCAGGAGCAGAGCCAGAGCAGCGTCTCAACTTTAAACCATGAAAACAAAGTGCGCTGCTGAATAACTTAAGGCAAGTCGGCAGAGGACATCAAGTGCCTGGCTGCCTCGGCTTCGGCTTTGGCTTGGAGGACATTTTAAATTGTATAATGAGACCACTTTTGCATGTTAACGCAATCAAAAGGCGCGACTACAAAAAACACCAACACCAACGGAAAGGGGGTCTAGAGGCCTACTTCCTGCCCCTGCCGAGTGGTTCGGGCGAGCTGTCTGCAGCATTATCAAAGGGCAATAGACGCTCAAGAGCGTTCACTGCATAGTATACACACTCATTCGCTGTTGTTTCAGTTCATTTTCATGTTGCTTTTTATGCAACGTCTGAAGGGGGGTAGTCCCCACCATTTCGCTTTGCCCCGCGCTATAAGCATCCTGCTCTTGACTCCCTACACTCTCTACTACTGCTACTACTTTACTCTCAGTGTTCAAAGTGTGGCCTAAGCTGGCCAAGTTAACAGAAATTTATGCAAATGCCAAAGTCAACAAGCGTTCACTGCATAATATGAAGGATACAAAGAAACATCGAGCCAGTGAGTGACTGATAAAGTGTGCGAGCGACGAACTAAGCGACTGGCTGGCTGACAAGCAAGCAGGCGGTCTGCAGCTACTCTCAGGCATTGCCTTCCTTTTTTCAATGCGCATGTCACTTCCAGTGTCCACGCACACACACACACAGTCGTACAATCCGACATGCATATGTATTTGTGCAGTGCAGCTCGGACTTGTTTCTTTTGCCATTTGGCCAACTACCTTAATAATAATATACTTAAGTGCTTTACTTCTCGTTTCATTCAAAGATTAATTTTGCAAATTCAAATATCCAACGTGGCAAAGGCATTCGAAAACTCGCTGCCCCACATCTGGCAACAACAATAGCCTTGTCAAAAGCTGCTTGTTAACAAGTTTGTCTGTGGCACGGACAACGCTGCTCTGTCTTTAATTGTTCTCGTCCCCGCCCTACCGCACCTCTCCCTCCCTCGTTCTCTGCGTGTGTGTATGTGTGTGTGTGTGTGTGTGTGTGTAAGAGGATGCGCCATGGCATTGCAACGTTTCGTTGTTCTGCTGCTTCCGACTATTCATTAGCATTTCCGTTGGAGACCAAGAGCCAGGAAAGTCCTTGCCTGGCAAGCAAGCAGGCGAGCAGGCAAGCAAGCAATTTCGGCAATTAAAGCATCGCACGTGCGCGTGCTTTAAGCATACGGCAGCACTACGGGAACGGGAGCCGGCTATTGTATGTGTTGCTTCGTTGTTGGCTTGACAGCTTCGCTTTAAATACGACACATTAGCAGATCACCAGGGGCAAGAACTATGCGAGAGTCCTGTCACTCCAGAGACAACACTCTCAGCCCAGCTCAGCTTGAAGTGTTGACGACTGCAGTCGACAGACGACAGTCGACAGTTGATAGACGACAGACAACAGACGACAGACGACAGACAACAGTCGACAGTCGACAGTTAGTCCAGCTTCGAGCGGGACTGACAAACGCTAATCAAATGTCACGTATCGCACAATGGATGGATGGAATTGGAATACAAACAAGTTGGAACTAACTTTTCACACACAAATGACAACAGCGATGAGAGCTTCCCCTCGCACGAGAAGTGAACTCGACTCCATTCTCTCCACAATGAGTTTCGGGTTCGCTGAAATAGAAATAAATTATAAAACCAATTATTTCATATGATGTGATGTGATGATGCCTTACATATTCGATAATCAAACTTCCGCCTCGGTTTCCAATCAGAGTTATGCTGCACAGGTAATCGATATGCTACCTGTACTGGATAAAAGTTTGCGCTGAAAAATCTGCAAACCTGGAAACTCGAACAAAGCCAGTTCGAACAGCTCTGGCTTCAGGCCCTACAACGGCGGAAATATCAGTCAATGGCCTCCCCACTTGACATGTGACCGATGTGGCTATCAACGATTCCATTTAGAAGCAATCCGCTTCGCTTCTACCGCGTTGTCTGTGAAAAAATACGTCAATAGCATGCCATTGCATACTCGACAGCCCTCTACAGTAGTGGCTACTCCACATAGCAGCGGACACGGCGGATCCTGCATACTGGACCGGGCAAATGTCAAGCCAACTTAGTAACCCGTGCAGAATGTCACGTAAACACGGCGGGGGCACGGGGCTCCGTAGCGACCAGGGATTGGCCGTATTATGGGCGGACTCTTCAATAAGGAAGAGATTGACTACACGCAGATTGCACACCAGGTCAGCGAAACTTTCGACCCATCAATCAATTGATGTCAAACGCTTGCTGCGCATCTCCAGTTCCGTTGTTCAGCAAATGTGTTATAAACGTTGCTGAAAACGTGGCTAATTTAGCTGTCTAACCGATGTATTTAAGAATATTTATTTTCTTTTTATTAGAGAATATGTTACTATACAATCTCAACATCTTCCATCCTTTGTTTTTCCATTTGCAGAAGATGCTGTGCACATCACGGCCATACTGGGCGAGGGGGTTGTCTTCAATTGCCACGTCGAGTTCCCCAATGATCATCCAGTGCCATATGTCCTGCAGTGGGACAAGAAGGTGAGCGAAACGGTACGATATCACACATCAAATTTCTTCTCTAAACTCTCTTTTTTACATTGTTGTTTGATAACGCAAAAAGCTAAAGAAAGTAAGAAACAGATAGACAAAAGTCGAAGAAAGCGCGACAAATGCTAACGACACAGTAAACCGAAATACTTACATATATCAAGCTATATTCAACGTTTTCGAACTCTTTACCCAACTAACTATCCACTTACATACATAATTACCAACTAATTTATGAGCATCCCTAACTAACTAATCAATATTCGGTTAGTTTTTGCATTTATGTTCCATTCTGTTCTGTTCCACTTGATTTCCAACATTATTGCTATACTAACTAATTAAGTGCCAAGTAGGCGAAAAGCCAGCTTTAGCTCCACAGTGCGTATGCGTAATAATCGAAATTTGTTGTAAACTAGGCGTTACTTGTGTTTAACGGCCATTTAAATAATGAATGCCTGTATTCGGCTTATGCTAATGCAATATAACACGATTGTTCATGCTGATGTTGTATTATTGCCCGCGCAATATAAATGTGTAAATGAATTAGCTTGAGATGGAATTGGAAGTGGAATTGGATGTGTCCATAATGTTTGATATGTATGTGTTTTATGTGTTGCTCGATTCGATTGGCAGTTGCAATATAAACAAATATATGCGTATAAGTTATCTATTATTTCCTTTCTCTTCTTCTTCTTTTGTTTTTATTTCGACATTTCGACATGTCGCCAAGGTGCCACTCAAGCTTCGCCAAGTCGGTAACAATTTCTTAGCGGCTCGCTTAGATATTGACACCACAGACACACACACATACACACATAAACACATACACAATTTCCAAACGCTGATAAGAGTTAAAACAAGTGCTTTTTCAAGAAATCTAAAGTAAAAAGAAAAGAAATCAGACCAAAGAGAGCGAAAGAGAAGAAAAATTCACATATGTTCATTTGTTAAGCAAATCTCGTTCGCAATATCGCAAATCGAAATACCTGTAAACAAATCTGTAGCTATTCTTCTCACTGCTAACATACCAAAACCAAAATTAGCCGCAATTCATAGTAAAAAAAAAGAAAAAAAAACACGTTGTAGCCACATACCAAAGATTTGAGTGCAACTAATTCGAATCCCTGCACTAATGAATACTCACTTGGCCGCATCTTTGAGCTGCGCACAGAGTTAGCGGAAATATGCTAATGCTTCCGATAGGTGCCTCACGATACGTTTGAAATTAACCTCTTAGCTAAATTACAAAGTTGGCGCATAAATAATGCGGATTCATTACGTATTTTCCTCAACTCTGTTCGACCAAAAGTTCCTCTTCAGTAAATATTCAGTATTCCACTAGAAATGCCAACTCACAAATCACCCTCACCACTAACCCAACCCCCAGCCACCCAGCCAACCACTCCACCACTTCTGCAACGAGCACTGCAAATTCCTTGATAGCTAGCAGTAAGCAACAATTTATTTCCATTACAAAAATAGTACAAAGCGAAAAGCTGCATTTTGCTTATGCAGATATCTATTTTTAAAAAGCACTAAACTAATTCTTTCTTTTTTCCTTTTTTTTTTTTGTATTTTCTCTTAACTTTTTTACATTCCACTTTCATTTAATTTTAGTTTGCATAATGTGCCACGGTACAAATATAATTTATATATGCATGTGTATATGTACATGTTTTGTTATGCAGCCAGCATGCATTGCATAACTGTTCTCTTTAACTCACCTGTCAGGTGGCCACACTGGCCGCGTCTAGCCTAGTCGAGCTATAGTTAGCGGCTCATTAGGCGAGTGCAAGCAGCGATGCTGCAGGGCTGCAGTGCTACAGAGCTACAGAACTGAAGGCAGCGACCTCAGACAGCTTACTTTCATAATTTAAAGCACGCCTAAGCCGCTGCAAGCCGATAAACTAACTTTATTGTTGCTGCCGCTTGATAGCAAAGTTAAACCGAGCAAGAACTAAGAAAAACCGCAAGGATAATAAAGTAGAAATGTAGATGCTGCGGCTGCCCCTGCTGAGCCTGACGCAGACTTTGACGTCAGCGCTGTCGTCCTTTGAGCGCTCGGCGAAATAATGCAACTAAACTTGCTTACGTATAATTTCATACATGTCTGTGTGTGTGGGTGTGTGTGTGTGTGTGTGTGTGTGTGTGTGTGTGTGTGTGTGTGTGTTGGATAGATAACGTCGCTGCTTTTTGTGCCAAGCTAAAAGTTTTACAAGCATTTTTAATGCCACAAACAAAGTTATAAGTACTACAAAAAGAAACTTTATGTTTTGCAGCGATAAAAAATACAAAAAATAAACCGGCATTCGGTTAAAAAAAGTCAGGCATGAATTCAGAATATGGCCACAAAATGTGGCACGGCAACCGAGCGGCAGTAATGGCAGCATATTAAAGGGATTAACATGGCTTTAGCTTTTAATTTATACGAGACTCTGATCCGGTGCGCAGCTTATACGTCTGTCTGCAATTAAATACACAATGGCGCATATGAAAGCAGGCCATCGGGCGCACCCGACTGCCCAATGCTCGCGCATAGTCCGCAAGCAGTTTGTGTCGCATATCGCCTCAAATATTGAAAGGCATCGGCGTAGCTCGCGACTCTCGCTCTTAAAGCGAGCCGCAAAATTGTGTTGCCTACTTTTGTGCGTCTCTTTAAGAGTCCAGAGCAGGCAGTCAGCCTGTCAGCCAGTCAGCTAGGCAGGCAGTCTCCAGGCAGGCAGCCACTGCCTGCAGACTGCTAGAAACATGAAGAGAGGCATCATCGTTGCCTTAGTTGCAATCTAAATTAATTGCTACTGAATAAATTAAGCGGAAAAATGTTTACCGAGTCAACTTATAACGCTTCTGCGAGTGCGAATATTAATTTTGGCGCCCGCTTCACTGCCTACGTCGAGGCTGGGCTCGCTCTAATAAATATATGAAAGCTACCGAACGCCTACCACAGATAGCCCTCATCTGGCTCTATCTGGGTCCCAGGACGTAGGCTCCCGTGCACGGCGTCCTGTCCCGGGCGATTGCCGCTGCCAAAGCAAATTATTTCATATGTCAGCTGGGAAAATTATTAAAACGTATATAATTAAGTTGTTAGAAGCGGGCGGGCCCTCGACTCGCTTGTCGGCTCCTAAATCTGCATAGTATAATTACAAAAATAAATCGATTAACTTTGATGCCGCCACAATCGGACATACGAGCAACATGCCTGCCAATTACTTGAGCGAAAGCAATTATGGCCACCTCGCCTACGAGTCTGTGTGTCGCTTTCCCTTTCTCTGTCTCTCCCTCGCTCTGACTCTTTGACACTTTAAGCAAATGACATGGAACATTCAGTGTTAAAGGGTTCAAGTGCTTTCGCCCTTCTGTGCCAAGCAAAAGTCATGTGAGAGAATTGCATGACCTGTCTAAATCCACATTCACATCCACATCCACATCCGCATCCATATCCGCATTCGCATTCGCATTCGCACCCGCATCCGTGTCCGCGTCCACATCCGCATTTGCGCTGCGCGTGATTCAATAGATTCTGCATGCCAGGCTGGCAACTGCCAACACAGTTGGGGCTGTGCCTTGGAGCAAAACGAAATAACAACAGCTAAAGACTGCTCCACTCAGGATTTACGGACTGCGAGATACCCTGCAGATCAGCTCGGCTCTTCTCAGTTTTTCTGTGTGTCACACACAATGCGACAATCACGCCAAGCCCGACCGAAGTCGCATTTCAAATGTGTCCAGGGTATAATAAACAACAAACAGAAATATATGGCATTTCGGTTTAGCCAGAGAGGAGAGAGTGCAGAGGGGCACAGGAGCCTGAGCGGAGGGTGGATGGGCGGCTAGGGGCGGGGCAGGTTGACTGCACGTGACCCCAATTGTTGTAGCTTGCATGAAAAATATTTTACATGCACATTTTTTATCAGCCCAAGCCTGAATTCAACTGTATCTCTGTTTGTGGGCCTGGCTGTTTTGTTTTCGCTGTTTGCACATGATTTATTGCAGCTGGGATATGCCAGGAGCTGCCTGGCTCTCTGGTGTTGATGGCCCGCAAGTTGGGAAGTTGTGAAGTGGGGCGCCAATGGGCCAATGGAGGTTGCGTCTGTAGCTCGACCAATCTTTGATGATATTTTTTGCACATTTATTTGCTTAGTTCTGTACCGTGTTGATGCTGCTCTTAAAAACTGAACTACACCGGGGGCGTGTCACATTCAATTTATTTTTGAACGTTTCTGCATTTGCCAATTCAACGGTTGGCCAGTCAGCGAATAATCCAGCATAAACTGCTCGCATTTTATTTTCCATTTTTTCACATTTCCATTTATAGATTTGATAACATAAAGTAATAAAATCATATTTGCTATACATATTCCTGCATGCACTAAGTAATCATTGAGCCTCTATATAGCTGCATGCTAGCTGCATTTACGTATTGTGCCTGTGATAGAGCTTAGTCATTGTAAATAATCGTTTTGTTTGGCAATGGATCCATTTCATGTGTTAGCTGAACATGTCATGTCATATCCGATGCATATGTACATAGTCTTAGATTGACTTCGATGTCAAGCGTATGTGAAATGTTCAAGTGTATAAACAGTAAGACGAACATTGAACTATGCTCAGATCAATAGCAGTACAAAGCTCAACAATCAATCCCATGCCATTTTATTCAATGATCTTAACCTTTACACTTTATGCATTTGAACCACATCGACACAGGGCTCCGATCTGCCCATTTACATCTGGTATGAGAGTTACCCGGAACACATCGAGGAAGGCTACAAGGGGCGCGTGTCCCGCGTGTCGCAGGACTCGCCGTTCGGCTCCGCATCGCTCAACCTAACCAACATTCGAGAGTCGGATCAGGGCTGGTACGAGTGCAAGGTCGTATTCCTGAACCGAGACCCCAAGCAGCATAAGAACGGTACATGGTTCCACTTAGACGTACATGCACCGCCACGCTTTAGTGTTACACCAGAGGATATTATATATGTTAATTTAGGTGAGTCCCAGCCCGAGTCGAAATGTCAACTCATAAATAACGCACTCGTTGCCTGGAAACTTCTCTCGAAGTTCTGCCCAACTGGAGCCTGAAACCCATTTGTTGGCCACGTTATGTGCCTCTATCAAGCGGCGGGCGAATGACGTTTCCTAGATTAAGTAACACTGGGTTTCCCAAGGCTCTTTTCTGCCTCGTCTGCTTCTTGGGCAGCCCGTTTCGACTGTATCAAATGGTCGGCAATTTGTTGCAGCGCCCGAATGAATCTGTCACCTTGAAATGAACTATGGGTGTATTTATGAGCAAAGGTCCTGTGCCCTCAAAGCACTGTCCGTCCTCCGTCTGTCGTCTGTCATGCGCCATAATGGTGTGAAATCGTAAAACCTGAGGTACAGCAGGCAAAAGTTTGCTATGCTGGGAAAGTGCGTGTTTGAGTTAGTTATGTGGCCTCATTTGTCATCTTTCAAATATCCCAAATACTTAACAGAATCGATAAGCCTTTGTGTGCGCGCGTGTGTGTGTGTATGTGTGTGCGCAATCGCCAGTCAAATCGAATTTCCGTCGCTTAATCAAAGTTAAAATGTTTACGCTCAGGCGACATCCAAGTGGCACCCAAGACACATCGCGCAGCACACAAAACAATTCAAAAGCCAAACAAAAGACAGAGACTGCGACGGAAATGCGTCAAGAGAAAATGCCGCATAAATCAGACAGCCCTGACGCGGTTTGTCAGCCTGAGCACAGTAACAATAGCCAACAAGTAAGAGTGCTTTGGTCGGGTAGAGCCGACTATGAGATGCCCTAAGCGTAGCGAAGTGCATGGAATGGAATGGGAGGTGCCCAAAAGACGGATGGAGGGGCAGTCTTTCCTAATCAATCCATTTCCATATGCATGATGAGGTAAGCATCCGAAAGCCTATCACACACTCTTGCACAGAAACAATATACCCTACCTATCCGCTTAGAACGGGTGTTCAGGGTACGGGACTCGGCTCCATTGTCTGCCGCAAAGTACGAGCAGCTAGTTGACAAGCATTGAGCCGAGCCGAGTCGAGCTGTATATAAAGGCATACATAGACGCAGCAGAGGGGCTAACCGGAAGTCGGGCATTGCAAATGGCATGCTGGCATGCAATTTTCTGTGCACGCTTGCAGGCCCAGCTCGACGAGTATATAATCCGAACAATTGCCAGGCACAGGCGGAGCCACTTACCCTATTAATTTGTCGTCTCTCTCTCGCTCTTCCATGCGCATTTGTTTCTTGCAGGTGATTCAATTATACTAAATTGCCAGGCCGATGGCACTCCGACCCCAGAGATCCTTTGGTATAAGGATGCGAATCCCGTTGATCCATCGCCAACGGTCGGCATCTTCAACGATGGCACCGAGCTACGGATCTCCACCATACGCCACGAGGACATCGGAGAATACACTTGCATTGCACGCAATGGTGAGGGACAAGTCTCCCATACGGCCCGCGTTATAATTGCGGGCGGCGCTGTAATAATGGTAAAAACCTATAAACAAACTGAACTATTTACGAAAATAATCAATCGGACATTTTAGTTGATAAACTAATGCAAATTGAACGATTCACCTGAAACCAAATTCAAATATAGAAGTAGAAATAATGGGCCTATAGTACATCCAGATCGGGCAACTACCATTGATTATAGTCAAATTGTTTACTCAAACTATCCTAATGAATCTTAACTATTTCTATAAAATTGCAAATGTTTTCGAACCCCCAACCGACCCACACTTTTCCACTTTTCCACACAAAGGATAAAGCGGCCCATGCTAAAAATTTGCATACAAACTCCAAATTGAATGACGTCAATGAGCAATTTACCATAAGAGTAAGTTCCAAACACGCCTGACACTCTCTTCATGCATTCTCGTGCATAATCTTCTTTTAGAATCAGTTAAGCACTTAAACATTTGCCAGAGCCCAGAGCCTAGAGCCCAAAGCGAAACACAACCTAAGCATTTTCCAAAGCAAACTAATCATCCAAAATATTCTTTTCGACTTGAGTGTAAGAACAACAACACGTCAACTGAGCGGCATCAGCAATACCCAGCAGAGCAGATCAAACCAATCTCACCCCAGGCACGCAATTTTCGCACGTTAGAGCCAACCACGTCCAGACCAGCAGCCAGAAAGCGCCACCAGTTTGGTTAACGGAAAAACTTCCTTCACCCAGTCCCCCTAGTGGGGCCTCACATTCGCAAAACAATCAAGCCGAGAGGGGGCCTTTACACGAACCAGCAGCAAAAACAGAAAAAAGCAACATAAAAACGTTTCAGGCGCCTGTAGGCGACTGCCGCATTCTCTTTCCGGATCCAAAGGCTGCTGAAATGGTGGGAGCTAAGCATCGATGCTCACAATTAACTATTTCAAGTACTAAATGTCTGGCTTCATCAGTGCCAACATGATGTCCGTTCACTCAGACTGAATGGCACAAGCCCAAAATGCTCTTTTCGCCTACTGCACGGGTAGACAGAACAAGCGAGGTGCAAGCGTGCAACTGAGCTGCTTTTGTGCTGGCCGTGCTGCCCGCATATACGCCTCGACTCGTTTTACAAGCAAAGAAAGCCAAAATAAGCACATACCAAAAGAGCCCGCCCCTAGCACACACTTGACATGGTCATTCGTCCAGTTCAGTCTCTCCTCTCTCCTGTCTTCCTCTCTATCTCAATCCCTCTCTCTCTCTCTCTCTCACTTTCTATTTACCATGTGCATACAAATAGCTCACATGTTCTCACACATACACCACACACACATACGTATATGTATACTTATGTATTTTCCATGTCCGTCGTCTAAAAAGTGCTGCATACTTTTGTGGGCGCCCCGCTAATGCATTTGGATTTTGGTATTTACAGTTAGCCACAGAAAAGACAAGCAACATACCATATGGGCCAAAATATTGACGTCTTTAATAGTTTGAACTTTGGCCTTCCGCTAGCCACGGGTCCTGCGTATGTCGATCGATATTCGGAGCAATGCAGGCAGGCTCATGGCATTTTTCATATGCTCGTTTGGGGCTGGCAACTATTTAAAGCGTGACACGCACTTGAGGGATCAATAAACGAGCATAACAAATTGTGCTCAAATTAGCGAGCAATTCGATTCGAGCGTAACCTTTTTGGGTTTGTTGTGGACTGCCTCAGCCACAAGCACAAGCACAAGCAATTCAATCGAAAACATTCGCAATCAAATCAACCCACATCAAAATAACAGTATATATCCTTTGAATACACCAAGGAGTTGGGCCGAACTGCAGTAATGCAATTACCAGATACTAAAATAGCACGGGCTCAAATGTTGTCGGTGACATTTGACTGACAAGTTGTCAATGCCAGCAGTCAGGAGCGTTTCGAGGTTATCCGTGCCATGACAGAAACAGATATGTAATTCCTTTGGGGGGTGAGAGAAGAGGAACGAAGCAATGACGTGGAGCTCTTTAAATGTTGCTTTTAAGCAACGAGCTCAAACCGAGCGTGGGCCAGGAAACAATCCAGGAGAAGTTGGGAGTTGGTCAATGCCTCATTTAGGAATGTCCTCACTCACCGTTGACAGACATTCAGACAGTTCCTTGTCTATTGTGGATCTAAAAATATTTTATTTATCTTGCATTTGCATTTCCTCTTGTTTCCGTTAGGTGCCGCCCACCAATCAAACGAAACTCGAGGGCGAAAAAGTGATATTCTCCTGCGAGGCTAAGGCCATGCCGGGCAACGTGACGGTGCGCTGGTTCCGGGAGGGATCTCCCGTTCGGGAGGTGGCCTCGCTGGAGACGCGCGTCACGATTCGGAAGGACGGCTCGCTGATCATCAATCCCGTCAGCGCGGACGATTCGGGGCAATACTTGTGCGAGGTGACCAACGGCATTGGAGATCCACAGAGTGCTTCGGCCTACCTCAGTGTGGAATGTGAGTTTCCCCAACCCGTATGCAGAGCAAGCCATTCATGTTTCGACAACCTTCTTCTCTTGACGCACAGATCCTGCCAAAGTGACCTTCACGCCAACCGTGCAGTATCTGCCTTATCGTCTAGCCGGCGTCGTGCAGTGCTACATCAAATCGAATCCGCAGCTGCTGTACGTCACATGGACGAAGGACAAGCGCCTGCTGGAGCCGTATCAAATGAAGGACATTGTGGTAATGGCCAACGGCTCGCTGCTCTTCACGCGCGTTAACGAGGAGCATCAGGGACGCTACTCTTGCACACCCTACAACGTCCAGGGCACACAGGGTGACTCGGGCACGATGGAAGTGCTGGTGCGCAAGCCTCCGACTTTTACCGTAGAGCCGGAGACGCTCTACCAGCGCAAGGTGGGCGACAGCGTCGAAATGCACTGCGATGCGGTCGAAGCGGAGGGCACCGAACGGCCCACCATCAAATGGCAGAGGCAGGAGGGCGAGCAGCTGTCTGACTCGCAGCGCAACCGGGTGAAAATTTCCGGCGGCAACATAACCATTGAAAATTTGCGCCGCGAAGACTTCGGGTACTACCAGTGTGTGGTCTCCAACGAGGTGGCCACGCTGATGGCCGTCACGCAGCTGGTCATCGAGGGCACGCAGCCCCATGCGCCCTACAACATTACGGGTAAGGCCACCGAGTCCTCTATAACGCTGCAGTGGATGCCCGGGTACAGCGGCGGGTCCGAGTACAAGCAGGACTACACCATCTGGTACCGCGAGGCAGGCGTCAATGACTGGCAGACGATATCCGTGACCCCATCTGGCAGTACACAGGTGACCATTAATGGCTTAGCCTCCGGCACCAGCTATGAATTTCAGGTGGTCGGACGCAATGTCCTCGGCGATGGGATGATGAGCAAGGTCATGACGGTGCGAACCTTGGGTGAGTACCGTGCCAACTCCTTAGCTACCTGATAAGCCCTGTTTGGTTGCTTTGGTTACTTCCCAGTTCTTTTTCGGTTGACTTTTGGTTTCCAATGTTGCTCTGCATTCTGCACATTAATCTCACTTAAAAACTTCTGCACTTTATTGAGACGTGCAGTCTCTCAGTTAATCTGGATTGGCTCTAACATAACGCTCTTGTTTTTCTCTCGTTTTCTTCTCTTTTCTCACGATCTCCATCGAACCAAAACCAAAACGCTACTCGTATTAACTTTCTCATACTAATCATGCGCAAAAATCAAATCAAATGCCAAATCGCGCATTGAATTTTGAATTTTTCTCGCTGCTCTCCACAAGGCAAAAATTCAAATTCAATAGAAGACGCTCCGGCAGCGCCACGTAATGTCAAGGCTGCAACACAACCGCCCGATCACTTATTTCAGCCAATGCCAGACGAAGCTGGTAAGATAACAAACAAAATTAGTGAAGTACCTTAGATATATACAAAAAAAAAAAAACAAAAAAAAACAGAACTTAGCAAAACACGTGTAACTCCAACATGAGGTATGCGCGATTGAGAATGGAAATGCAAACAAAGTCTAATGAAAACGTATCCAAATCCACGTTAACAGTTACCCGCGTAAAGCAGAGAGAGGGCCAAGGAAGAAGACCGCGACATAAACTGGCTCCATCATTGAAGCCTCGGTTCATGCTATATAGGGTAGCTCGCTCTGCGGGCTGGGCCCACAGAAACATTGTGAAAAATTTACTCAATCTTCGGGGCTTACAGCGAGGAAGATGGCAGCGATAAAAATGGTTCTTTGTATTGCAGCCATTTATTATTTTTGAGGCTAACGTGCCCCGCCGCTGCATGTGCCACAAGTAGAAACACCCTCAAAAAACGGCACTTTCAATCTGTGCGGCTCACAGCGAGTACTTAGCCAGTTGCAAACGAAAAAACAACAATTAAATATTCAGAGCAATTATACACAGCGAGCAGAAAAGTTAGGCAAATGGACGTACCTTCTACGAGCCGTAAACTCCGACCCCCTGCACCGCCCCAACACCACTTTTCGGCTTTGCCCCCGTTATCGGCGGCGGCAGAGGCACGCCCCGAAATTCACGTCGAGTCGCCCCTGGGGCATAAGTCGGCACATGTGCGTCCCTTCCATCCTTCACAGAGGCCTTGCTGGAATGTGAATATTATATTTTCATGTTGCACTCTCAGTCAGGTGTAGCTGTAGCCCATACATACGTATATGGTATGTGTAGGCGTGGCCGTGGATGGCAGTGGGTCTGTAAGGTAGCTGCTGCTCTGGCAACGTAATTAAAACAGTTGGTCGCTCATTTAATTATTTAAATTAATTGAACTGTTTTTACAATTGTGCGACGCGTAGACAATGGGAAACACACACACACATAGACACGCACGCCTACACACACACACATAGAGAGAGAGGCAAATGCTGCGTGTTGTCATTTTGTTGTTTCGTGTGTCACAGGTCGTGCGGTCGATATGACAACGCCCACTCCTACAGCAACAACAACAACAACGAATAAACTACAACAACATAACTACCTGCTGGGTGGCGTAATTTAAACAAGCATATTACCAAATGTCGAGCCACATTTAACACACGGGCGGGCAGACTTGCAGACGGCCAGACAAGAATTATACGCCCTCCCCCTTTCCGAGCCCCTCTCTGTCCCACTCTCTGCCCCCCTCACTCACACTCACTCCACACCGCTAAATGTGGCTGTGTAGGTGCGGCAATTTGAATACCATCGTCGCTGCGTGTTTTTCCAACCGCTTTGCGATAATAGTTAATTTTTTACTCTACTCTGTCCCGCGCGCCTTGCGCCACACTTGTCTCTCCCCACCTTCACGTCCCTCTCTCTTTTTTTCTCTCTCTCTCTCTCGCTCTCTCGCCGTCGCTCTGTCTGTGTCTTGCTACCTACGTTTTTATTCTCCCTTTCTGTCTTGCTCCTGTATTTTACATAAAACACTAGTTAGCTCCTAACCACCCCCCGAACACACATACACACTCATACGCACTCACACTTACACAAAAAAGCACGCACACATACACACATACACACATACACACATACACATAGACAGAGACCTGCATACATATGTAAGTGTTTTTCCCCATTTAGCGAATTTATTATACTCGTATTAGAGTCCCTTTTCTGTTGCTGTGTTTGTGTCCCTGCGTGTATGTATGTAGCTATATATATATACATATACATATGTATATATGTATATATGTATATGTATGTACACATCTCGGTACGTTAGCGCACGCGTATGTTAAACAATAATACCACCAACAACAACAGCAACAACAACATTAACAAAACCAACAACAACAATAACAATAACAATAACAATGGCAATGGCAACAGTAACAACAACAGCAACAACAGCGACAACAACAGCAACAGCAACAGCAACAACAACGATAACTAACAGCAAACGTGTTGTGTGTTGTGTTATGCAACCCTGGATTTCGTGTACGTGTGTACCTTTGGCGCTTGTAGCGAAACACCTACAAAACCATCCATCCACACCCACCATATACACACACAGACACACACATCTCACACACATGCATACAGAAATACACTCACACACCCACACACACCCTCTCTACCGCCTCATTTAAAAAACAGCAACCCGGGCTAAACACCGAGCTGCAGGGCCGCCATCAACTACAACAACAACTACTACTACAACAATTACAACAACAGCAACCAACGATACCAACGAAAATGTAAACGAAAACGAAAATAACTGCAACAACTGTCATTAACATCGCCGCAGAAATAACAAACAGCAATAATATTTCTTTCTTTCCTTCTTTGTTTTTTCCCCATTTTTTCGTGCTTTTACTTCTGCTCTTTTAGTGTTTTCTTTTAATTCGTATTCGTCTCTCTTTTTTGCGCTCCTTTTTTTAATCGTGCATATAACGTCAGCGGTGTTAACCGACGTCTGTCACTATATACATGTGTGTGTGCGTGTGTGTGTGTGTGTGTGTGTGTGCGTGCATGTGTGAAGCGTGTCGCGGGCTGCCTTGTTGAATTCCTCGCTTAAAAATTAATAACAACGCAGACGGATGGCAGCGCCAGCTCCAGCGACAGCGGCACTTGAACGAACAGTTGAACATTTTCTTTCTGGCATTCGACAAAAACAAAGTCAAAAACAAAACAAGAAGAAGAAGAAGAGGAAAATGGACATGCACCGACCACACGATACTCGCCCAAGAACAGCAGCAATCGAATTGTGTTCTCCGATTCGCCATGCGTCAAAAGACTAATCGTGCAATGTCGATAGGTATTACTGTAGACAAGATCGAAACTTGGTGACTCAGCTCGGACTTACACGGACAGACGAACGGACGGATGGATGGACGGACGGAGGGATAAGAGAAGCACCAATATACTCTCTACTCGATTCGTGGACAAGTATGGAAACAAAGCAGCAGCAGGAAATGCATGTCAAGGCTGATAACGTTTTATACATACACTTACACACACAGAAACACATACTAACCCCACACACACCCACACGCACACACATGCACATACGTATTCCCTTGCGAATTTATGAATATTCAATGCATTTCACTGTCATAATTGCAGAGCACCAGCTTTTTGATGTTGTTTGGCCCTGTGTTCAGTTACCAACATTATTCGCACATTTTTTATGCCCGCAAAAGTAATTTTCCGTTTTACACACAGCATACACGCGCATACCCTAACCTTGTGCTGGCTGGGGTGGCACTTAATAAGTATTTCAGTATTTCCACCTGGCCTGCCGCCCAGCCAAACTAATCGATTATTTTATATGAGTTGGTATTTCAGTGGTTTGCAAGGAGCTGGGCTCTCTCTCCCCCCTCTGTACTGACGATTCCCGGGTACGGGCACGGCCAGCCAATCATATTTGTAGCTACTTGATTACACACACACATACATATGTCTGTAGTATATATACTCTGTTTTTGGGTTTTTGGTTACTTTACCTCCTAAATGTGCACAAACTATATTTTATATTTTGCACTCCTATATTCTTTATCTTGGTTTCTGTAGGTGTTTCACTTTAGTTAAGTTAAGTCTGTTGATTTTGATTTTCATTTTGGTTTTGTTGCTTTATTTGTGTTTGTTTCTGTTTTATTTGCAGACCCTTTAGCCTATTTTGATATATACTTTCATACCGATTCGCGAGGCAAGATAGTTTATTCACCGCCCAAGTTGAGATCGAAAGGTACTCGTATTATTATCAATTTATTCAAATATATTTCTCGTATGTTTTTACAGTTAATCGTACTTCATATGTAGGTGCATACTATCGTACTACTAAAGAGCCATATACACATATATTCGGATCTGGGCGTCATTCAAAATTGCTTGCCTACTGCTAAACGCGCCAGAAAGCTTTACTCTCAGTAGAGGCTCCGGCTACTGCCATTTGCCGTACTGCTCTATTCCAGTGCTGCCAGTTTAGCCTTTTTTGAAACAACTCTATTGATAACAAATATTATTTAGTATGCCAAAATTAGAATTTGATAGCAGAATTTTAGTTCTAGTGTCGATTCCATTTGCCCAATTCTTACTAGGCAGCATTGGCTCGGCTCTCAGCTGCCTTTTAGCTGGCTTTCAGCTGCCTGCTTCCTGTTCAGCGGCCTGCTCCGAGCTCCGTTGCAAGCTCTTAGGCAGCCGTGGGGTCAAAGTGCGCACTCATTGTGCTCCGGCATTGTTTACAATGACATTTTACGGCTGTTGCAAGTCGTGCCTCTATGCGTGCCTGTGTGTGTGCGTGTGTTTGTGTGTGCGTACCTTTTAATGCGCTTAAGTAATGCCTTTTACGAGTATTTCCTTGCAGACTGCAGATTTACAGCCGCTAACTCAGCCCACTTTGTGGGCCGCTTGTGCCGGATAAGCTTCTGATGCTGGCTGGCTGATGCTGGCTGGCTGCTGACTGTGCCGGTGCCAGTGCCAGTGCCAAAGCCAACTTGCTGCAGCCATAAATAACATTTACTCGCCCCTCTGCATCTCCGACTATCTCTCTCTATGTCACTGTGTAAGTGTGTGTGTGCGTGTAACCGTGTACCCTGTCTACCCTTGACATTTTTACGGCCGACCCACACTCGGCCGGTCTCATTTAGGCCTATGGCGCGGCAGCCTTCCCCATTACATATTTCTCTTCTTTTTTTATTATGTTTGTCACCTGTCTCGTTTATATTTTGTCAAATCTGGGGGTATATTTATCATCCTGACAGGGAAAGCGGAGAGGACATGGGATGCCGAGGCATGGGTGGCAAAACTCTTTTGCTCATTTGTGCAGCCGGCGCAGGCCGTTCTATGCGCATAATCAACTTTTGATATATGCGCTTTTAAATCTCTCGTGTGCGCACTTTAAAAGCATTTCTAATTAACATATATGCATAAATAATAACCGCCGCAGCAGCAGCATCATCATCACATTTTTTTCTAGCTAACGTAAATAGCTGGCACTCATTGGCCGACTTTAGTGTTTTGCTGGAGTCCATCACTTAAATTAGCTCTTACACTTTAAATATAATTGACACATAAATGTACATGCATTAAAACACAGATATCAAAATAGAAGTGCAGGACAAACCGATAAACACGATATTTCGAACATAAAACGCTGTAGTAGCTCAACATCTCACTTTCGTATGAGATGAATACAAACCTATCAGTAAGTGAGTGTGACTAAAATAAGGCAAATGACTAAACAACGCATAGTCCAATAACAACGTTAGTCAATAGAAAAATCGAAGTTTATACAATCATATTTTTCCTTTATACTAATACGACATCCTTTCATTTGACAGGCCCGAAACCCGGACCGCCTCGCAACGTGTCCGTGACGGAGATCTCAAATGGTTTCCTGATCACGTGGCAGTCGCCGTTGGAGCGCGCGCACATCGTCAAGTTCTACACGATTAAATATCGCACGGACGCGGAGTGGAAAACGTTGAATCGGGGCCAAATACGGCCGGAGGAGACCCAGTATTTGGTGAAGAACCTGGTTGGCGGTCGCACCTACTATTTCCGCGTGCTGGCCAACTCGGAAAAGTCGTACGAGTCGAGCGATGAGGTGAAATTCCCAGTGCCGGCGCGTGTCAAACATAAAGCTATAACAGCCGGCGTCGTTGGGGGCATCCTGTTTTTTATTGTTGCGATCATTTTATCGGTTTGTGCCGTAAAAATTTGCAATAAACGTAAACGACGAAAACAGGAAAAAGGTAACACAGGCCAAATGCTGTATACACACAAGCACACTTGAAATGGTTTTTAATGATAATTGATTATCATTGCGAGTGATGACAGATGACAAGTGACAATAATAATGATCATGCTGATGATGATGATGATGCTCTTGTTGTTGTTGTTGTTGTTGTTAATGATAGCAATTATTTTCGCTCAGCTAACTAACTAACAAATGCTACTTACTATATAAACACATTAACTACTAACTGCTTACAACTAACTACTTGCAACTAACTAACGAGTAACGAGTACCAAGTATCGAGTATCAAGTACCGATACCTTTTTCACACTGGATAGGCATTGGCAATTGGCCCCACGAATACTCGCTCCTAATTGACTTTTAATAACTTGCCTAAATGCTCGCTTGATTGGGCATTAAATGCAATTTGAATAAGTATTTCGTTTAATTAAGATCAATTCGTGCTTGAAGCAATTGCAAGTTTGATTCAGTTTTCTAATTTCTCGGCTTACCACATTGGCAAAATTTCGACAACAACAATGCATTGCAAATTGAATTGAATTAGTTTGTTTACCTCACCGAAAGAGAAGCGAGTGTAAAGTAAATATGAAGGGCATTTGATACTTAATTAACAACAACTATGCCTGTGCGAATAGCTCTTTCGTTTTGATTTTCTTTTCCGTTGTAGTTGTGCAAGTAAAATTGACTTACGATTTATGAGCGAAGTCTCTCTGTAAATACCAGTAAAATGCTTCAGTATGCCTTCAGTTACTCTGATTTCGTTTGCTTAGTCTTAGTTTATTTTATTAAATATTCCTTTTGGTACCTTTGAACCCGTCCGTCCTGTTGTATTGAACCCATCCGACTTTTATCGAGATTCCGTTTCCGTATGGACATTTTTACTTTCTCAACTTTTTCTTTACTGAAAGCAAATGTTTTTATCCGTGCTGACCCAAACCAACCCCGCCGCCAAGCGTATTTATATAAGCCTCCAGATTGAGTTAGTATATGTATTCTTTCTTAACGCATGCTCGTATAACTAGCTGTTGGAAAACTTAGCTTAATGTAAAGCAAACCCCAAAACAAGCCTGCAACATAGAGGGGAAAGCCGCAGTAGAGGACGAACAGACTTTTCCAGCGAAGGGGGACTCAGCTTTAAGTCTGCTTTCAATCTGAGAGTTTTCATTTACTGATTGAATAACATTTATGCTTAATTTTGGTTTCGACTTATCGTTTAGTTAAGTTCTTATGTTTGGTAAAACCTTCACACACTTACACAACACAAACAACAAAAGTCTAAAGCCTAAAGTCAAAGAGATTAACAAAATTGCGCATTTGAAACAGAGTAATGCAGCATACCATTAAAAGTAATAATTATTTAGTTGCCTTATTGTTTCACGAAAGACCTCTAAGACGAGTTACAAATTGCAAATCACAAGTGAATAGAGGAAACGTTAAAGATGTTGAAAATCAAGGTCAGGCACAAACACCTTTATCAAAATGTTATTGCTGTGCATGTTCTTGGCCAAATCGTCGTTGTTTCTGCCCAGGGCTGAGTTCATGTCGGATAAAGGTGTTTGCAGTGTTTAGAGAGTATTGATCGATATCTATATATATGGAACTACTATATATATAGCGCAATACTGGGCAGACGTTTTTTGTAAACAATTCACGCACAAAGATGGTAAAATAAGGCCCACAATCGATGGCGACGAACCAAAATGAATGCAAGGACTAGCTCTGAGCATCAAATGATCGCGCCATCAATAGATGAAGCACTCTTTGAATGCATCGACCGCATTTGAATGCACAAACCCAGAGATTTTGAGCCAGAGTGGCCAATTAGGCCACTCTGTGTGTTCAGTTGAGTTGGTCATTATCTCGTTTGTCCATTCAATTTGGCTGGCACATGCAGCGACCCCTCTCACTCTCTACTGAGAACCAATTCGCTACCCAACTAAGCCCCCTGCAACGTCAAAGCAAAGCAAAGCAACTGGGTAAGTTTTTCAAAATCATAATAAATCGATGTCGTGTGTGCAACAACAGATTCCGAGCTGTAATAAACAATCAAACTAAAGGTTATTTTCAGAGAACTAACAAGTGTTACCTCCCACCGCTTACCTTTTAAGAAACACTAGTTTATCACACTGACATCCATTTCATACAAAATTGTGAACCTACTCTGCAAGGGCCTATCGTATCTCACGTTCTCAGTGAATATTAAGCTCATCCATAATCAAGCGTTTACGTATTCTATTCTATATAACAACCAACCAAACAACCAACCAATCACACTTTCTTAAGTATCCGAAAAGCACCCACAACAGGCGGCACCGCAAAACTCATTTCACGGTCTTCATAATTACGTACTTAATGTCAATAGTAAAGAACAAAAAACTCACTCAACACATTACACTCGTTTATCTCAACTACTTTGAATCATGTTGTTTTCGGCTGTCCCAGTTGCTGGTCGAACTTTCGGCCGACAATGTGGGCAGTCTTCCCCTTAGCCTTTTCATTTCACGTTTTCACTTATCGTTTTTCCTCTTGTCATCCGTTTTTTGTTTGAGTGTACCATAATGCCAACTCGTTTTTCGTTCGTCTATGATTTGCAAACAGGCTTACATACATTTGGTTTTCAGTAACTTCTTTTCGTTGGCACTACTATCAAACTGACCCATTCAAAAGCCATTTCATGTGTCATTGTTTTTTTTTCCAACATTTCGAAGCCCGATCCTAAATAAAATACTGCGAAAAGCACATGCTATGCATAGTTATGCATACGTATGAATACTCGTATAGGCGCATATATGTACTGTCCGGGAAGCGGGATATACAATGCATACATTTATAGTATCGTATGTCGTATGGGCTATATGCGCACTCGAACCGTAGTCATAGGCAACGACGACCAATCCGACTTGCCCCACCTCGCAGGCCTCCACCTAATCCCAGCCAAATTAGTTTGTCCAGCTACCTAATTGGATGTCTCTTTGACCGTGCATATGTAATTGCTAGCCACAAATTAGCTACTAAACTGAACCTACATAAAACTAACAATTGCATAGCATAGTTTGTGCGTAGCTTGCTTAGTCTAGCCTCTATCGGTGTGTGGGTGTATTGCCTGTACTCTAAGTAATCATCTATTAATCTGTTAAATTTTTAAACTGCATTCATACGGCAACAGCGACAGCGACAGTGACAGTTCAGTATCCAATAACAACATAACACGCTCTTTGTTGTTGTTGTTGTGGTTGTTGTCGCTGATGCTGCTGGCTGGCATGCAAATTGGCATAACGACCGTGTACCCATGTGTGTGAGTGCTGAGTACCGACCCATTCCAGTCTATGTACAACTATTGGTACATTCGGGTGCACGTTTAGGTACATCAGTACACACCTGGGCGAGCCGAGTGCCAACCCAGTCAATGTACGTTTAGGTACATTTTGGTACACTTAGCGCACAGTGCCGACGGAATGCCAATCGAGGCACGTTATGCCAGTTTGTGCTAGTTTTTAACCGGCCCAAAGTGTAAGGGTACTCGTATTTAATATACCTACATACATACATATGTACATTCTGTGTACGTATATGCATTCATATGTGGACAGCGTATTGTGTAAATGGTAGTGGATGCGTCTGTATATGTGCCTGGCTCGCACTGGAGCACATATACACACGCGCTCGTAAATATAGTGTGTGCTTGGTAGCTGCTGAACGTATTTTATTTACCGGATAGGATGGCTCACGCTGCACGCCAAATTAATTGTAGAAATTATACGTTTACAGAGTTCAACATGGTAGCTTGCAGGATAACAGATGCTCGTAACATTGCAGCCAATAATCATCATTTGCACAATCGCAGTACGGGCTCCATATCCTCTGGTCAAGTGCCTTTAAAAAAGTGAGTACCCCGCCCCAGTCTAGACCGTATCCGAATATACATACATACAAATATATATATGAAGCTCTTCTATGAGTCCACGATATATCAGATAACTAAATACATCTAAATTTTCCAACTGTCTCATGCGCCCACTAAACCAACTAAAAACCAAACATTGATTGGCCTCTGCCATGCACCTACTACATCTACTTGAACTACTTCTACTCCTTCCACTGCTCTTGCTGCTACCAATAGCAATACTGAACACTATCGTGATTATGAAAGCGTTTTTATAGTTCCAGGTCCATCCTGTCATAATCAAAATCGTAAGCAATGTTTTCTCTACTAAAACAATATTTTCTCTAGTTCAGTTTCAGTTTCACTTTCTGTTCCGTTCTGTTCAGTAGGATAGACTTTTACTTTGATTTTTACTTATTGTTTCTTTGCGTATTTGTTGAATGTGAATGTGCGAATGTTGTGCGGATATTAACTGAGCTGATTCTTCAATTGGGCAGGTACAAACAAACCCGAATATCAAGTCTAACTGCAATACTCATTGCCATATTGCACTGGATTTGGCCACCCGACCGCTGCACCAACTGCCACTCCATCTACAGCTCACCCAACATTCACGAAGATGTTGTGCAGGACGAAGGGAAGAGGCGGTCCGCACAGCTCGGCTACGACAACAGCATTGAGAACTGCGTCGACGTGGTCGACGGCGCGCTCTTCGAGCGTCGCAACAGCAGTGGGTCCCAGAAGTCCTCCAGCGATGACGGCGGCTTCCTCTCGCGCCGCAACTTCATCACAGCGCGCGCCTCCTGGCGTCGGCCACTGGTCGCCTCATCGAGCCAGGTCAGCTTGCAGTCGGCAGCCGACTCCGCACGGGGTTTCCTTAACGGCTTGGGCGGCCTGCTGAAGATTGGCGGGGCGGTCAAGCAGCCGCCCGGGGATGAGGCTGTCACTGGCGCGAGATACCAGAACGTGCACAACATCTACAGGAACATGCAGCAGAACGCGGCGAGCAATGGTCCTCTGCACATCAACACAATCAGCGGCAGCCTGGGCCAGCAGCTGATGTCGCCTCAGCTCTACACACCGTCTCGTGTATCGCGCATCTTCTCCAGCTCGCCGGCCAGCACTCCCGGCCACAACCAGCAGCTGCACCAGCACCAGCACCAGCACCAGCATCAGCTCTTATCCTATAACGCCGGATATCCGTCGCAGCACACACACTTTAGCGATCTCAGCACCGTCTATCCGAACTCCGCGGAGCGTTCACTGCCGACATCCCACATCAGCGGCGCGGGCAACCTGAGCCGCTATCGCTACCATTCCCAGGAGCTGCCGTCACTGCGCACCATCCAGGAGGAGACGCGTCGCCAGCAACCGTACCACCAGGCGCAGCAGCCACTGGAGGACCACTTCGTGCCACTGCAGCTGCCCTCACCGCCGTCGTGGCGCAACTACTACCAAACACAGCTGCCATATCAGAGCTACCGGCCGCGCACCCGCTGGTATCCCCGGCACTATTCCCGGCTCTTCAGCCGGCAGCAGCACGAGCTGCTGTCGCCTCTGCCGGACTTGAACCTCTCGCTGCGTGGCTCGGCCAACGCCGCTGGCGTGGGCCTGGAAGCATCCCCCGAGTCTCGGTCAAGCTCCAGTGGGTTCGGCTCCAAGAACACGTCCAACCATCCAGGCAGCACGAGCGAGTGGCGCCTTTTGCCGCCCTATCGCCCGCCGCCGTCGCCGCCGAAGCACTCGGCGTACTTTGGCTTGAACATCGCTGCCACGGGCAGCCAACAGGCGCAAGCCCAAACCCTGGTGCCGGGGCAGCTGCAGCAGCAGCCGTACCACTACTCCTACCTACAGCCGAGTCCGCCTTCGGCCGGGCTACCGACGCCGCCGTACACCATGTCACACTGGCTGGAAATGATCTCACGACTGAATGCAGCCACGGATAACAATTTGCCCAGGTCCTGCCCCGTGGACGTGGGTAGTGTCGATGGCCACTACGAATTCGACCCCGCCACGCCGACGCCCAGTGCCTCTACTCCAACGGGCGGCGTTGGCCTGCTTCGCGATGATCTCAATCTACACATAGACACACATCACTATCCGCATCACTCTCATCATCATCACCATCACCAGCACGCAACATCCTTCCACCAGCATCCGCACCACACTCTCGGCCCGTTGAGTGGCAGCTTGTTGCATGCTTCGACTGCGGCTGCCGCCTCCACCGGTGGCTCGGCTACCTACGGAGCCTCCATGGCTCGCAAGCTGCGCAGCCTGCCCCGCTACGACAATGTGGAGGCGCGACTCCAGGCCATGCGAGAGGAGTTCTACGCCTACCGCAAGCGCCAGTCCATGCAGCGCACTAGTGGCCCAGAAATCGAGAGCGTGTGCTGACAACAGACAGCAGACAGCAGACAACTGACAGCGTAAATGTGACCGCAAAGTAAACAACAACTATACACACACACACACACACAGAGAAAGAGACAGAGTCTTGCACAGGTACACCCATAGAATATATCTGCACCAGCTTAGGCACAGAATGAATAACCCGGCAGTAGCAGCAGCAGCAGCAGCAGCCATAACAACATGCAATCGAAGTCGACCACAGATTAGATGATATCTATCCAGCAATAACAAAGCTCACATCGTATGTTACCCATGTTAGAACCCAAGCGTCATACTATGAACTACAAGTATTTAAGGCCACATATAGACGGCCCCCAAAAAGAAAACCAGCAATTAGTAGTTTTTTATGATATATAGAGCAATCGAAGACCGGAAAACAAAATCGAAAAATACAAGTATAGGACACCCAGAGAGGAGATAATTTTTGTACATATTAAATACATTCAATAATGATATACACATTATAAGAAGGCACTCGAGCAAAATATGATAGCAACGTTTAAGTATAATATTTATGGTAAAAACCTATAGCAATTATGAAACACATATTATAACTTAAAACTCAATTTACATATATGAATTGATTGGATTGAACACAATATGCAAATGAAAATATTATTTATAAACAAGCCGAAAACAAAAGAAATTATGTATTAGATATTTATATACGGTAAAGCATAGGCGACACAGATTGATCTGTTACAACATCAATTACCAATTAAACAAATCCACAAACGTAAGCGTACATTATGTTACATTAACACTAACGTAAATTAAAGCGGAATATATGATAGCGATTAAGTCTTTAGTTGTTAGACTAAACGATCAAACGAAATGTTAAAATAAAAGCGATAAATACTCTGAAAAATTACATATAGACAAATTGTTTTATAATTAAATTATTGAATGAAGAAAAAAAAAAATGATTAAAACCAATTTAACAGTTTAAAAATTAAAAAAAAAAAAATCTGAATTATAACTGCTGTATATATATGTATATACATATGTATATGTATATGTTTACTGTTGAGCTACACACAAATAATTAACTCGAAAGATATATTTATTGAAAACCTAAATACTTTTGCCAGTACAAGTATAGGAAAGTACTTAAATCCACTGCAACATGTTTCACACCAAAGCAACATTAACAGCAACAGCTACAGTTGAGGCAGCTGGCTTAACAGTATGTTATTTGACATTTATTAAACTTCTGATACTACATGAAACTACTTGAAACTAAAACGGAGAACAGAGAGCGGCTTTGAGTTGTTCATGATTGGATATTGGATTCGTATTGCATTGTGTTCAACAGCTAGATAGATATACAGGAGTTCTATGCCGATTCCGATACAGATTCAGATTCATATTCAAATTTAGATTCATATTGAGATTGTGCATAACTATGACAGCTATAATTTATCAGCTTATTATCAGCCTCCTCCTGTCCCCATGTCCCTTGTCCGCCTGTCCATTGTGTTCAGTACGTGAGAGCTATGTTTCGTTTAAGCTAATGGGATGTTTGATGAATGAGTTTCAGTTAATATTACGTAAATACTTGTTAAAGATAAACTTGTCTGAACAAAACAAACAAATTGTACGGAATGGTTTGACACAACTTGACGCCAAAACACTGCCAGAGCGAAAAAAAGAGAGAAGAAATGAATGAAGATGTCAGAAAAGATGACGATGATACCGTGTCTATAATGCATGTAAATTACACAAAAAAAAAAAAAAACAAAAAAAATCGTAAACACAAAAAAAACATTCAATAATATATATATATATATATATATACTATATAATATAAATACAATTTAATCAAATCGTTGAGCAGAAAAAAGAAATTAAAAAGAAACTAAAAATATTTAAAGTAAATTGACTCAAATGATCTCAAGAATAATTATTTCTTTTACGCATTTCCCACTTTGCAAACTTCAATTCGAATAATTCCCCAATAGGTCCCGTCGTGTCAGCGTTGATTTCTACTAAAGTTATTGCGAGAGGCTCCTGTCGAAATGGTTTCTTATTTTATCAAACAGAAATCGGAAATCGTAACTGAATTAATGTTATTGCACAACGAGGTTCGATTATTGTAAATGCTAACCGAGAATATTAAGATAAGTTGACTTTTGTATCGAGTAGGACGGAAAGCAAACAGCATAGACTCTCGCTCATACACACACACGAAGGAATGAATGAAGCAGGAAAATTAATTAATAATGCAATATAAAATATATATTGTTAACTAGAACGCAATTAATGACTTAATTGAGCATTAACAAAAGACGAAAGGCAAAAGACAAAAGAATCCAGTAAAGCAAAAACAAAAGGTAAATTAACAATAAAAGTATGCCGTTAATATGTATTAAATTTTAATTGAAAACTGAGCAGGGCGTTGAGAGATGCGCAGATGCGAAACGTAGTGAAAATACATATACACGTTAAGTGACGGACTTTAACAACAAATTATATATAAATATATATAAACAATTAATTATATGATATAAATTACTACAACTACTGAATTAAACGGCATGTACATTAAGTCAAATGAAAACAAAATTAACAAATAATTAACTCGTAAGTAAATCAAACGCTTTAGTCTGCCACTTTGATTTTTGGACAAGGTGCGTAAGTCAACTTCAACTTTCTTGACTCGAAACAAAACACAACAAAGAAAAACCAAAAACAAAAAGAAATCGAAATGAAAAACTTTAAGCAAACGTAACTATCGAAGGACTAAACAGTAACTGTTTCTTCTCTTCTTTCTTTCCCAGCATTCCTTCCTGCCATTCTTTCCACCTTCCATTTGCACCTTTCTTCAGGCTACCTTCAGCTAGCGTTCACACACTCGTATCATCATTATTCGCTTGATTCCAAATCTATTTCATTCCAATAACAACAACAAAGTTCCCCAGCATTTTCAGCATATAAACACGTATAGAACGTTTAGAACGAAATATATTGTAATTAACACAAGACACAATTATAAAAACAAATTAGCAAAATGAACAAAATTTTTAAACAAATAAACTTAAAAAAAAAAAAACAAAAAAATTAAAAAAAAAAAAAAACAATTTGAAATTGATCAAATAAAACAATAGAGAAATGTTTTTTTATTACTTCGCTACTTGTGCATTGGGTGCAATCACCTTTTGACCCCCGCAACCCGACAACCCGGAAGCCTGAACCTGTGCCGCCTTTTGATACGCTCCATCAATTAGGCAGTGCGGCAGTTTTCACACACAGCAGCAGCAGTAGCAGCGGCAGCGGCAGCGACAGCGGCAGCGACAGCGGCAGAGCTGCTCCTCAAATTCATAACCCACTCGCTGGCTCAGCGAAGGCGTTGATTAACGTCCAACTAATTGAATTGGAATTCACGAAAATGCAATAGAAAACAGCGTCCCAATTACGAAGCTGGTTAAACGTCGATGAAAGTGAATTGTGAGCGAATTTTAATTAGAGCAGCCACTGAGCTCAGCAGCTGCGTGGGCGTATGTCAAATGTCAAATTTGGAAGAGCGCGGCCAGCCTCGCCTGACATGTGAAAATGGACTGAAGCGTGGAGTGTGTGTGTGTGTGTGCGTGGAGTGTGTGTGTGTGTGTGCGTGGAGTGAGTGTGTGTGTGTGTGTGTGTGTGTGTGTG